CAGGGCATGGGCAGCTAATTCCATTGTCAATTCACATTCTTCCTCATTCTTCCTCCGGAGTGACTGCTGAGATTTCGCCCGAGGCAGCACAGGGAGATGAAGTCAGATAAAAAAGAAAGCTAATGCCCCCACCCTGGTGGCTCTGGTGATCCCCTGACCCTGCTCAGCCTCCCTGTGACATGTATTCCAGGTCACACCATTCCAAGCAGTGCTGCTAGTCTTCTATAAAAAAAGAATATGCTAATTAGACCGAACAGCCGAACGACCTTCCGGACAAAGCTGGGGTTGCTGGGAGGGCCGAGGCAAGCCACCATGGTTGTGAGGGCCAAGCCCCTTACAGAATTTCATGCATTGGACCTCTAATATTTAACAAAATGCCAAGTATAAAGCATGTAGTACTCCCAGTTTAGAATATCTACAAAACTCTCTCTCTCTCTCTACATTCAAGGAAATTACATTTTAAATGTGGAAAAGGGGTTTTTGAGGTTTTCTGGTGAGAACAGGTTCTTCTCATCACAATGGAAGTTTTTTTTTTAGAAGTGTTGCTACTATTGACTGAAGGTCCAAGAAAAAAAAAAAAAAATGGGGAGATGGGGAAGAGGTAAAGAAATGAAAAGAATCCCACTTCTGGAACTATATCCTAAGAATTCAGAAATATCCATCAGAAAAAAAAAATATATGCACCTGTATGCTCATAGCAGCGTTACTTACAATAGCTAAGATCTGGAACTAGACCAAGTGCCCATCAGCAGATGAATGGATTAAAAAGCTGTGGTACATTTACACAGTGGAATTCTATGCGGCTGTAAAAAAGGACTTCTTACCCTTTGCAACAGCATGGATGGACATGGAGACTATTATGTTAAGCAAAAAAAGCCAGTTAGAGAAAGACAAATATCACATGAACTCACTTATATTTGGAATCTAATGAACAAAATTAACTGATAAAATAGGTCCACAGGCATAGGTACGTGGAACATAATAACAGATCTCAGTGGGATGGAGGGATCAGGAAGAGATTAGCCAAAAATATATATGCAGATATATATAAACCATGGACAACAGTGTGGGGAAGGCCTTGGATGAGGCAAGGTTTGGGTGAAGGGGGCCAAAAAGGGGGGAAATGGGGAACATCTGTAACATGGTCAACAACAAAAAATAAATAACAAATAAATGAAAAGGAATGAAGCGTTGTAGATAGGATAGATGTATAAAGCAATTCAAGTTGGATGAGGAGAGAAGGAAAGTATCTCATGTGCTTTTTTTTTTTTTTGTAAAATAGCAAGACTGCTAGCTATTTGAAGTCTACCAGCAGGTTCTACATCATTAGGGGTGTCAAAGCCAAGGACATCGTGTGAAATCATTCAACTTAGACTGTGTTCTTACTTAGGGCTGAAAATACAGAAGAGGGAAAGGTGAGTGGATGAAAAAGAAGTGTTTTATACAGAAGTCACAGGAATAACTTCATAGAATTCACGTGAAAAGACTTCCGTCATTTCACTGACAGCTCACTCCAGGAGGGTGTTGCAATACTACTAGACAAACAACAAGTAGGTCATAATCCTCATTATGATTCTGCAATGTCAAGCCACCAGAAATAAAAGGGGGGAGGGCAGTGCATGCAAACTGTTAATGGGTATGAAACAAGATAATAAAGGAAATCAAGTGAAGTTTTACTTTGCAAGTCAGTTTCATTCCACCACAAATCCAATACAGAAATCCTGCTTTAAAAGAAGTTGAAAATGAAAGAAAGAAATTGAGGGAAGGAGGATTAAAAAAAAAAAAACTTGACTGCAAAAAAGAAAGCATTAGTTTATTATTTAAAAATCTCGCTGATTCTAGTTATGCTCATCTTGAATCTCTTTTTTTACATTAATGCATAATTGCATGATGTTTTTGATAAAACAAGAGTTTAATTTGCTTTGCATTAAAGAATAAGAATTCAAAGTGCCATTTGGGAAAGAAAATGTGAAATATCTAAAAGAATTACTCAACAGGCTATACCATACTACCAATATGCAGCTACAAATTGTGTTCCAGTAGAGGGAGCCCTGGAACAGAGACTGACAGAAAAAACTGATGGAAATTTAAAAGTAATTCAGCCCCGTTTGGCTCAGTAGATAGAGCATCGGCTTGTGGACTGAAAGGTCCAGGGTTCGATTCTGGCCAAGGGCATGTACCTTGGGTGAGGGCACGTCCCCAGTAGGGGGTGTGCAAGAGGCAGCTGATCGATGATTCTCTCTCATCACAATTATGTTTCTAACTGTCTATCCCTCTCTCCTCCTCTCTGTAAAAAATCAATAAAATATATTTAATAAATAAATAAATAAAAGTAATTCAACAAACCCAGTGCTGTATATAGAAATATGTCGATTCTCAGTAAAGGTTTTGAATGTTAGTGAATATATACATTTAGGGACTTCCTAACGTTCCCTACACGGGCACTATATCATGTTTAAAAGGAGCAATGAAGTAAATGTTAACACCATGGAGAAAAGGCTAAAGTGCTTGCTTTTTGGGTTATGTGATAACAGGACTAAGTACTTGTAACTTGCCCTTTCTTGACAACTTGTGTGTGTTAGGTATCACAGATACAAGATCCCAAATAACAATCAAATAAAGGAAAACTGCACTCAAATTCCTTCGATCCTGGTGTACCCACCCACGCCTAAAAACTTTCATTACAAGTATAAAATTCTTAAACAATATGTCATTGTAAAGGACATAAGCAGTAAGATTACCCTGTAAAATACAATTTTTAAGTATATTTTTGGGGGAGCAAATTGTGTTGAAGGGGTTCATAACAGTCTCCTCAAGATGAACCACTTCGACACACGATTATTTTGCGCTAAAGGCAATTGAGATCCTGAGGGCTCAAGAGAAAGATTACCTCTCCCTTAAAGAAATTAAACCGGGGTCCACGCCCATGGTAAGAGGTATTGCCAGAGATAACTTTTTATGGCCTATCCAAAGGGCATGGCAAACATCTAATTACTGACTATCTATTCTTCTTTTTAATATACCTTTATTGATTTCAAAGAGAAAGAAGAGACAGAAACATCAATGATGAGAGAGAATCACTGATCACTGCCTCCTGCATGCCCCACACTAAGGAACAAGCCCCAACCTGGGCATATGCCCTGACCAGGAATGGAACGGTGACCTTCCAATTCTTGGGTCCATGCTCAGCTACTGAGCCCTGCTGGCAGGGCATCTGCCTTTATGTCCTTCCAATCATCTACCTCTGCTCAGATACAAGAGTCAACATAATATCCAAATACCCAGTACTTGCCATAGCTAAGCACTAGGAAGCTTTATTGAGAGATCTGCAAAACATTACTCAAGCTCAAAATCACAAATAAGAGTCAGTCTCACTGGAGAAATCTTGCTACCTCAAATTGTTATTTCTATGCCAGAAGATACAAACAAAAAGATGATCTGGGTGTCCCAAGCAGAGAATGCTGAGAAAAAGAATCCTGGTCATTTGATTTTAATGCCCGGTTATCTGGTGAAGACACAGGTGGTTCCTATAAAAGAAAGAGGTTTCCCTTCAGCTGCTCTTGGGTCATATGGGGCTTCAATGTGCCAACTTCACATTTTACTGAGAGCCTTGCCTTGCTTCACTAATTAACAAGAAACAAACGGGGGGAGGGGGGTGAGGGGGGCGTCAGTAATGACAGCTTTGGGACAAAAAGTACAGGGAACCGGGGTTCAGGCTCGCAGCTCATGCGGAGTTGTCTACATGGAGCTGGCTTCCCCTCAGAGCCCACAGAGAAGGGATGAAAAGCATAAACGTCAAACAAGCAGTGAATGGGCAGAGTGTCAGGAGCCCCAGGTTGAAAGGGCTTTCATCAAGCCCAGCCACGGGGAAGAAACACATCAAACGCAGCCCAAAGGAAACAAAAAAACTGAATTATGAAAATGGCAACATCTGAAAAGCATCAGCGGTGTGTCTTAGAAACACGACCAGGGAGACTGAAGTCTCAACCCCCCACCTTCCCTCAAAAGTGCTTTCTAATAACACTGACCACGTTCCAAATAGCCTGTCTGCCAAGAACTCCACGACTGTACTGCCTCCTGCGCAGCAACCAGGATGGAAAATCAATGCCAGGGGAACGAACCTTAATCTCTTACTTTTGAAGTACATTGCAAATGTCTTGCTGGGCATTTATCTACAGAGGGAGTAAGCTCCTAAATAGATGTAGGAAGGGAACGTGACCTTTAGTAGATCATTTTGGTTCCCAACAAGAAGGCAAGGAGAGGCAAAAAATAAAGAGAATGGGGGGATATGAATTGAAAGGAAACGTTAGAAAAAGAAAAAAATAGAGCAAAGATTTCATTTGGGGAAAAGATGAAAGCAAAAGGCTATACAAAAAAAATAAATAAAAGCAAAAGAGAAACATTATACTCCACCTAAAGATAAATGACTAGAGAAGGGAAAGAGAAGGGGGTAGCAAAGAATCGTTCCGGAGTCCAGAATGACTTAACTTTAAAATGAACTTGCTGGGACTTTAAGACTGATTTGGGTTCGGAGTCTGGAATCCTAGAAAAGGAAAGACGCTAGCAGCAGCGGAGACACAGAGCTAGACAATGCAGGGGAGCAGAGACTCCCTCCCTCCTAAGCTGTGGGGCAGCATCAGGTTGGGCTGGATCAAGGAAAAGGCTGGTGATGAGCAGGGTCCTCCTGTAGGTGCTCAGAGAGGCAACAGACACGCGGATTCGTGTGTGTGTGTGTGTGTGTGTGTGTGTGTGTGTGTGTGTGGAAGAGCCGAGATCCTATGTGGGCTGGGGTGCATCAACCCACCCAGCATCCAGCACCCACCTCCCACCTTCCGAGGAAGCCTTTGAGGCAGAATTAACAGACGGGGCAAGAGAAGTGGAGGGAATCCTCTCGGACCTGGCAAGACCCGACGGAGACCCCAGGATCCAGCGCGGGGGCGCCCGGAGCCTCCAGGTGCCTCCCCAGGACCCCCCGACACACACACACACCCCCAACTCACCGATGCCGAGCCCCACGATCAGGCGGCCGGCGAGCAAGGTCTCCTTGTTGTCCGCCGCGGCCAGCACGGCGGAGCCGGCCGTGCACAGGGCGCTGGCCAGCAGGATGGAGGCGCGGCGGCCGCACACGCCGTTGAGGGCGCCGCCGGCCAGCGCCGAGACGGCGGCCGCCCCCACCGTGCCGGACACCAGCAGCTCCTGCCACAGCGCGTCCAGGCTGAGCTGCCGCTTGAGCAGCAGCATGGCCCCCGACACCACGCCGGTGTCATAGCCGAACAGGAAGCCGCCCAGCGCCGAGAACACCGCCGCCACGTACACGAAGGCGGGGGTCTCGTCCCGCTGGAACTGCTGCCGCGCCGCGCGCTCCAGGTCCCCGCCGCCGCCGCCCGCGCTCTGCAGGCTCCCGCTCGACTCGGCGGCCGCCAGCAGGCTGCGCTCCCCGGCCGCGCTCGCCGCGTCCGCCTCCGGCTGCTTCCGGCGCCGCTCGCCCTTGAGGCTGCTCAGGCTCCGCAGCGTGTACTCCACATTCTCGCTCGCCTTGCGGGACATAGGGCGGCGGGAGCCCGGGGATGCCCGGGGGAGGCGGGGGTCGAGGCTCCGCGGGGCCGGCGGACTCGGAGGGCTAGATCGCCAGCGCGGGGAACAGCGCCGCCTTCCTCCGGCCGGTCCCCGCTCCCGATGCCTGGGCAGCCGCCGCCGCCGCCGCCGCTCCCGGGAGAAAGTTGCAGCCCTGCCCGCGGCGCCCGGGCGCTGCGGAGTTGGAGGCTGGCGGGTCGCACTCCCGAGGCTCACGCCCCGCGCCTGCCGAGCTGGCGCTGCGAAGCGGGCGGGGGGCGGGGCCGCGGGTCACGTGCAGCCCCGGGACCAGCGGGGCGAAGCCCGGGGGAGGCTCCGCCCCCTTTCTGGGCGGGGCCAGGCTCCCTCCAGCTCCGGGCCCCGCCCCCTCCCCAACTCCCTGCTCCGGACCCCGCCCCCGGGTCCGGGAGAACCTAGCATCCAGGCTCCATCCTTGAAGGGTTCTGGAGTCTCTAAGGAATGAACCCCGGTCTGGGGGCCGCAGCTTGGAGTCAGGCCAACGTGGGAATGCCAGGCAACAGGCTCCCACCTTTGGGAGGCTGACTGCAATGACTGCCCGGGTCGGAGGCTGGCCAGAGAGCCCTAGGCACAACCTTGGCCTCCCTCTGCCAGCCTGGAGGATGGCCTTGACTGCAAAGGGCCCGGAAAAACAAACAAACAAACAAAAACACATCTTGGTGTGGCACATAGCAGGTACCTTTCACTTTAAAATATTGTGACATAAATGAGTTTGTGGCGGAGCAGTTCAGGACTGTGTTTTTCCATCTGTATAACGGGTTTGCTCTCATCACCTGTCCTTCCTCAGTTTATGCTTAATTTATTATTTTTTATTGATTATGGTATCACATAATTGTCCTCATCCCCCCATTCCCACCCCAAACCCCTCCCCATGTATGCCCCCACCCACCTCCCACCCCCGTTGTCCGTGACCACTGGTTAGGCCCATATGCATGCATACAAGTCCTTTGGTTGATCTCTCCCCCTTTCCTCCACCCTTCCCTACCTTCCCTCTGAAGTCCGATAATCTGATCAATGCTTCCCTGTCTCTGAGTCTATTTTTGTTCATCAGTTTATGTTGTTCATTATTTCCCCTAGGTGCATGATATCATGTGATTTTAAACACATGGTACATCTTGATTCTTTGAGGACAGAGATCCTATATCTCCCCAGGTGAATCCCATAACTCCTATGGCTCTCTGATGTGTCAAAGAAAATTCACCTATCACTATGGTATAACCAGGTAATTCCCAGTGGTAGAAAGTGAACCCAAGAATCTGACTTGTGATTTAATAAGCAATCTTCACCCCCCTGATCTCCTCCCACCCCCAACACGCTCACCTCACGGGAAGGGAAGGCTGTCTTCTCCCCTGAGGAATCCCCTCTGTGGCTCTCCATTTGCAGGGCATTTTGTTCACTTGGGGGACCGTTTTTTTAAACTGTTAATTGCCCTTTCATTGATGTTTATTTGTTTCCTCTCCCTGTGACTTAAATCATTCTTCAGAAGAGAAACATGATTTTGCCTCTGTTTTCCTTCCATTCTTCAGGCTGAGGGCAGAAGGTAAAGCATTATATGATTGTATTCCAAATGTCAATGCTTTTATTTCCCTTATTGGAGCCAAGGATTTCTTAGCCTAAGGCCTATTTTCATGTAATCCAAAACTTTTTTTCTCTTAAAATGCTTTTGTCGCTCCTATTTTAATAACGTTGTATTAGGATTTGTCAAAATTGCTCTTAGTATTTGGATTATCGGTCATGATGATAGCCCACACTATAGCACTTTCCTTTCCAGCAACAAGAAAAAATAAATTAATGAGGTCAGAGGATTTAACTTTTTAAACTTACTGTGTGGCTTCAAAGCGAGGCTGAATCCTCATTCTCTAGAATCGGTGCAACAGAGCGAGCTTTTAGCTCTGAAGCAATGATATCTCGCCTTAATATTGACAGTCTGAAAAGATTCAAGTGAGAGCCCCTCTTTCCAGGCCTATGTAGTAAAACTGCGCCACCTGGTGATGAGCCTGATCACGGTTTCTGATGAGAAAGGCTTCCCAGATCTGATCAGCTCGTAGTGTTGACAGTTCTTCTCCTGTTGAGATGAAACAAACTGCCTTTTATTCCTAGAGTGTGTAGTGGACACCTTGCCTCCGGAGCATCCCTTGTCGGAAATCCACCTCTGTGTAACAGAGCACTAAACTACTTAGCCGGCTCTGTTCCATGTCATCAGGGCATTTAAATACTTGCAATCAGGTTAAGTCTGAAAACAAATATGACAGAGAAAAAAGGCATCGGGAGTTCAACAGAGTTCTTCTCAGCCCATGGAGGGAGCCCAATTCAATTTTTCAACACAACGTGAGCACAAAATGGAATTTCCCAAAGCCTGCCCCAGCAGCAGATCACGGAAAGCCCATCAGCTGAGAATCAGAAGACATGAGTCCCATCACTATCTCTGTTTTATTCCACAACTTTTGACAAACCACTGAATTCGTTTTTGCCTTGTTTTCTTATCTGCAAAGGATATATGGGTTCAGCAATTCCTCATTAACTAGAGTAAGCAATTCCTCATTAACTAGAGTAAGCATGAAAAAAGTATATTGAAATATAATTGCTATTGCCAGTAAATAATAATTATATACATCATTATTGATTTGCAAGGTGAGTTCAAAAGCCCCAGTGTGAAGTACATTTGCTTTACAAGTCGAATCGCCCATTGTAGAAAAGGGAAAGAAGAGAGAGAAGCATTTTAGCTACCCTGTTACAGATCCTGAATATCCAGCAAGGACATTAGTCTTTAGTCCAATAAAAGTTGTTGTGACAGTTGTTGAGAGGGGATGGTGGAGTTGGAGGCAGAGTGTTGACTTTATGTTTGTGGGGTGTTTATTTTTAATTTCACAAGATATGTTTTCTTATTGCAAAGCAGTCTAACAATAACAAAAATTCCTGCCCACTTATCTCTTACACTATAACAGTCCCATTTCCCTAGAAATGAACCCTCCTACTACTTTGAAATGAATGGTTCCAGAACTTTCTCTATGCATGCATATGTATGCATTTATATGTACACTGTAAAATACAGATGTTGTGGGGGTTTTATTGTATTGTTTCAATTGCAAAAGAAAGAACACCCAGATTAAACTGGTAAAACCCAAATCAAAAATCATAGCAGAAAAAGGAGGGTTTATTGGCTCTTGTCTCTGAAAAGTTTATAGTACATTGGTTTCAGGTACAGCTGGATATAGGACTCAAACATACCAGCATGTCCTCAAGAGAAGACTTTGCTCCATCTCTCCACTCTGCTTAATGCTACTTAGGGTCCATTCTCAAATTCCATGTGGTGGCCAAATGGCTACAGTAAGCTCTGTTTTCTATATTACATTCCACTCTTGTCTGAAGGGCAGATAACAAGCTTCTTTGCAGTCCTAGCAAACCTTTTATTGTATCTAATCGGACCTGTTGATTGTGTTGTCAGACAAGAGAAAGGATGGCCCCAGCTGTTGTGACTCAGTTGGTTGTAGCTTCATCCCGTACACCAAAAAGTGGCAGGTTTGATTCCCGGTCAGGAGGCAATTAATCAATGTTTCTCTTTCACATTGATGCTTCTCTCCCTTCCTCTCTCTTAAGAAAGGAGGAAGGTTATTTCAGGTGTCAGGTATGACTTGAATTTATTTATATGCCGAAGGGAAAAGAAGACATTGATAATTCAAGAACCTTGTTGATTGGTAGAGCTAAGTCCCAAAGAGGGCAGAGAGGATAAAGAGCAAGATCACTAGAAGCAAGATCATTGGGGGAGAGGCTAACCTAGCCAACAATAGACAGAGGAACATGTCTTCCTCTGAGAAGAAGTCAAGCAAAAAGGAATAGAGAAATGAAGAACATGGTGTTAATAACAAGACTGGGTAAAGAGTTCTGTTAAATAGGTAAATAGTTGGAGGGGTAGGGAGAGAGCCTAGACATTGTAGGCAAAAAGACTTGAGTTCATATCTTTACTCCTTACTTGACCATGGGACCGACCCTGAACAACTTACTTATTTTCTCAGTTCTCTCTTCTGTAAAAGAAGATTAATAATACTGTATCAGTATTTAATGGTTTCAATTCTGAGTAACAGAAACTCCATACTCAAAATATTCTTATACACTGCAGAAATGTATTATTGAATAAACCTGAAAATCCTTTGCTTGGTCTTTCAAAAATGGCATCAGTCCTAACTGGTTTGGCTCAGTGGAATGAAGCATCTCAGGTTCGATTTTGGTCAAAGGCAGGCTCAATCCTCGCCTGGATCTGAGTGCTTGCAGGAGGCAACCAATGCGTCTTTCTCACATCAATGTTTCTGTCTCTTTCCCTCCCCACCCCACCCTTCCACTTTCTCTAAAAATCAATGGAAACATATCCTCGAGTGAGGATTAACAACAATCCAGGAGGCTTTATTTTGCATTTTGAATCTAAATTGTAACTCAATTATGTGACTCTGTCTGAAGTTGTAAGCACATTAATGTTATGACTCTGCTTTTTAAAATTGAGTGAATATATCATGTTAAAACTAAGCCACATACCCCGCTGAAACAGTTTACTTATATTTTATATTGGCTAATGAAGTTATTCGGATAAATTAACAAATTTGTGTCTCCATATACTATCCTCTTGACTCAGAAGAACCAAATCTTTTAATTTGATAATACCAATTGTGTAACTCATTGTCCATGTAAATTAATGTCATTAACAAACATCCAGTAGTACTTGCAATGAAAAATAAGATCATTTAAATTAACTTAATGCAAATAACTATTTCAGCAAGAGTGGCCAACCTCACTGTTCCCAAAAGAACACATTGTAATTTCCTTCCAGATTCTCTATCATAATTTTTACAATGTATATCATGGAATACTTTTATATATTTCAAATACACTAAGTAACACTTGAGTGATGTTGACCATGCTTTCATACCCAACTTTCATGATTAACAGTAAGTGGGAGACATAGA